CAAAACACAATAGCTTTATGATGAATAATACCTAAAATAGGGTTAGTATAATAAATTAAATTTATGGGAAAAAGTGCTTGACATTTTTATTCAACAAAACTAAACTTAATAAAAGCAAATGTTGAATCGACCAAAGACACATGCAATGAGAATTTGAAAAAACGATCCATACAAACCTACATTTCCTCTATCCTCAAAAGGGACAAGCAAATAACCATTAAAGAACAAGAATATTAAACCTAACAATCTTATAATTTATAAAAACAGAGCATAGGATATGCAAAACATGGAAAAAAAAAAACAGGTCATAGACGGAGAACGCTATAAAAATGGAAAATTTCCAACCTCTCCAGTACCGATAAACTTCCATTTAAATTGTTGAAATTGTGATTTTTCTCTCCGCCATCGTTGTCCCAGTATAACAAGTCCTGCCACTGCCACAGCGACAAAGATGGACCAGAACGTGTTCGTCCCCTTGGCATGGTTGTATGCAGATATTGCCCGCTTCTTCCACCATGATTCAGGAGAATCATCAAAGCTTTCATCGATATTTTCCTCATTTGGCTTGCAACCATGTGCTCGCCAAGAAGGATAATCAAGTTTCTCCTGAGAAGGGTTTCTGGGTTCAGCAAGGTCAGAGATGTCATCGTGAATGACAGGAAGGCTCACATTAGCCCCATCATCAAAGGAAATTTCATTAGGAGAGACAAATAAGGCATGATCCATTTCCACCATTTTCAGATCTCCCTCTTGCTTTCCATATCCCAAATTCATACTGTGATCTGAGAGACTGCATCCCATATCAAATAGATGACTTCCATGTAGGTCATTGATTGTGTCTATCGTAGAACTGTCTTTATTAGACTTCTGAGGTTCAGTAATATTGTCATCCAGAATGCTTTGTTCTTTATAAACTTCACTGCTGTAATTTTCTGCTGGAAGTTTTTCAGACTCATGGGGTGCAACAATGAAGTGCTTGGACATGAACATTGCCTCAGAGCATTCTTGTTCAGTTTTGTTGAACTCTTCGTTTTTATGCAGCACTGTAGGATCAAATTCTGGAGGACCAGGTGCTGCAGCGAAAGTGGAAGCAGTGAGGGAGACAACCTCCCAATCAGTTCCCCGGGTATTTGTCTCATTCAATTCCCTCCTGTCATCTGCCATTTCTTATTATCGGGCCTCCAGAACAGCTTGAAAAAGATGCAAAGAGTAAGAAGTTGTTAGGCTAATTCGAATTAAATCAGTCATCAATCAAGACCCTAGTGTAGAGAAAAGAATAAAATAACATTTCAATAGTGAAGACATAAGAATTTTCATGATTGAAAAACAGTAAGAATTTCGTACTACAGGAAGTGAAGAAAAAAATCAAACTTGCTGAAAAATGACATTCAATACACAAAATAAATTATATAAAAAGGGGATCCAGAAACAATGTCTGTTTTGAAGTACTGATAAAAATACCCTTCAGCACAGCTTCAAAATTTACCACTCCTAGTTCAAAGATCTTAATGGTAGATTCTCAAAGCTAGTTGAACTATGTATGTACACGAAACCAGCTTGCAAGCATTTAACTCGTCGCCGATGGCAAAACCTAAACTCTCAACTCAACACTTTTAGAAGCCAAAGCTACAATGTACGTATGAACAAGAAAAAACGTTAGCAAAAAATGATTTAGTCGTAAGTAGTTCTATTTCTTTTAAACGAGGTTAGGGTTGAAATTATATATGAACCTCAAAATATGTGCAATAATCATTCAAATTTTAATCAATTTGAAATCAAAATCTATTTGCTCTGACTTGAAGATGAATCGCTTGAAATATACTTTAATTCAAGTCGTAATAATCTCTCTATATTCTTTTCACTCTTCCACCTTCAATAAACTTTTGGTTACGCCGACTCTGACTCATCAGCCTCTGGCAAGCACATGACTCATAAAAAAAAGTATTGTCGTACCAAAATAAATAAATAAATAAAAGAAGTTGTAACGGAATCGTTTCTCATAAAGATAATCATCGTTGTCCAAAATAAGCGAGGTGCCTCCTGTTAAGACTAAAGTAAGAGAATCTTTTCCAATCAGTTAAAATGTCAAAGGTTAGACATGGATTGTTGCCTAGGAGATGTTATCGGCAAAAGCGCTTGTGATATTACTTCTTCAGTTCTCTTTCATCTGAGTACCTTTTTCTAACTACTCTGTAATCTTTCTCATCTATAGTTTGCAAGTCTTAAATTAAGATTATTTGATAGTTAGGAACTGTTGCTATCAATGTTATTGTTTGCATCATTTTGTCATAAGGAAAATTTAATATCTTCCCTAATATAAGTTTATGGGAGTGATTGGAAACAAATTTATGTTATGGGACAATATACTTTTATACGTTAATTTAAGTAATTTAAGTTTGTATTTGGTATATGCCAATTTATTTTTAGCATCCAAATTACAGCCACAATTATGTGCTTATGATTTATGTTGAAAGGCAGAAATGCCCAGAGGGGACCAAAGCTGCCGGACCTAGTGGGGCCGGTGGAAATGCTTAAGCAAAAACGAAGATGCCATGGATCATTCATCCAAGGAAACCCTTACCCCACAAATCCATGTACAATAAAGGAAGGCAGATTTGGATTACTCTTGTGGCACCAATCAGAGCATCTCGAGTTATAAAGAGGGCGTACATCTGATGGGTTTTTTTTTAGTTATTATATTTAGTTATTTCCAATTATGTTCTATATAGTTATATGTATTAATACCAAATGAAGAAATAAACAACTCATACTTTCCTAGCCACGTCTTCTTTTCTACCTGATATCCAAGCAAGGGATTTTTTTTTCAAACTTCGTTCTTCCACTTTTTTATTCTTTCTTCTCTTTAATATGTCCCATTTGTTTTACTTTCATTCAAAGGAGTCAACTATCGTGAATGGTGAAATCATACTAAATGAGAACTCCATGAGCTATATGCCTCATATCATTTGAATGGAAAAAAACTACCTAAAGTGATCTCAAATTATATAGAAATTTCTAAAAGCAAAGAGAAAAATTCATCATCTTATGAATCCTCCTCTAGGATCGAAAGATCCAAAGTTTGCACTTTGGGATCAGATTCCATGATCATGGCTTGGTCATGAAACATTATGACTTGGAATCACTAGGCCATATATATTTCTAACAACTGCAAAGGATGTTTGGAACACCGTCAAACAAACACATTTAAAAATTACGAACTTTGCTATCACCTAGGAGAGAGATCCAAAAAAAAAAATCAAAACAATCAAACAAGATAACCTACCTGTTATTGAATATTTTAAAGCAATGAACATTATTGATTTGTTTTAGACTATTAACAATATCTCAAAATGAAGAGTAATGATGGTGTGGTAATTCTCAAACAATTTGTTTAAAAGAGAAAGGGTTTTTGAGTTTATTAAAGGACTCAATAATGAATTTGACCGAGTTCCTATTCAAATCTTAAGCGGATAAAATCTACCATCACTAAATGAAATCTTCTTAATCATATGAGCCAAAGAAGAAAAAATGATGGTAATGCTTGGCAATCCTATCTCAAAAATATTTGCTATGACAACCAACGAACCTCATAATAAAAGACTTTATCACTGATTCTTCCTAAAAAAGAAGGGGAAAAAACATTTCCCAAAAGCAATCTATGGTGCAACTGTTGCAAAAAAAAGAAGGGTACATCAAAGAAAAATATTAGAAATATCAAGAAAAGTACTAAGCATATAGTTGAAGCAAAGAATGTCACCCCAAAGGGCAAGCTTGCCGTGTGAAATCATAATGGCTTAACTCAAAATAATTTGATAAACCCATGAACTTTCTCAACTCATAAAAATTATTTGTGTCATGCTCTCTAGCCTCAAATGGTTTGTATTCTGACTCATGTTTTTAATATCTCAAATAGTTCTCCTCACACTTGGATCCTAAAAACAAGTGCCAAAAATCACATGAAAAAACATTATAACCTTTTTTAAATAAGTAAAATTTACCCCAACAATAGAAAAATCAAGGTAGCAGATGTTTCCTTGTTAATTATTCCAAGTCAAGGGAACATTCTTATCTCTCCCACATTTCCCTCAACAATTAACTACATGTTCTTCATTTTGCGATAAATCTTTTAACAATCCATAAAGTCAATAAAGAACACAACTGCAATATAACTTTTTCATTGCTTATAATGAATTTCAAGACATCACTACAAGGAAGATGATTGGACAAATTAGAGAAAAAGAAGAATTATAACTTCTTAAAGACAAAAATCACTTACCATGTTGATTTAGCTCCGCTCTCAATCTAGAAATTATTTGGGAACATCATTATAGGCTAGAGGATCCTAATTTCAAAATCCTACAATATATGTTTCATTATCTTTTTTATGAATGTTAATATTGAAGACCTTTACTGCGAGACTTATAAACTTGAAAAACATCGTGTTTCCTTTTCTAAAACTGATTCTAAATCCTCTACTCCTTTTATACTAATTCAATCTAGTATTTGAAGACCATCAGGAGTCCCTACCATTTTTGGAGCTACAAGATTTCACTTTTATTGATAATTGCACTCAGATGATATGGGTATGTATTGTCAAACAAAAAAATGATGTCAACTTTATTCTCCTTACCTTTATTGCTATGATAAAAAATCAAATTAAAGGTGATTGGCTCAAACTTTGCTCGATCAAAATCAAAATAAAAATCAAACTTGGCTTTGAGAAAAATAAAAATTTATGATTTTGGGTTTATGTTGGCTGGCTCTAACTTGACTCAACATCACCCCTAACCACAGGTTCAAGTCAAAACAACAACCTCTCTATACTGCAGCTTAAAGTTACATAAAACAACCCCTCCATGTACCATTTACACACTTTTATTTATATAACGCAACCAAACTTCGTTAAAGCTCTCCAAGATTTATTAAACCTTGTGGCACAGTGAGGTATTATGAGTATATTCCTCCTTTCCACATTCGATCTTACGCACTATTACATCTGAAATATGAAAA